TTGCAAGTGCATTAGTCATATTCACATTTTGAGTTTTCGCGCTTTGGAACGACCGCAAAGCGAAAGTGGACACATTAGAGAGGTAATCCCCTCACCCCACCCCACCCCACCCCACCCAACGGGGAGACAAAGCCTTTTGTTTCAATTGTTTGAGTGAGAGCCTCATATAATGATCATGCATACAATAAAACGTGAACACCGTAATATGATGTTAGCTGTAGGGATTTTTTATATAAAAATTGGAGTGGGCATACATTTAGCTTTATCCAAAAAAGGTGTAGATTGAGTAAATTAAGGGGGGAATTTTTCATTTGTCAAACTATTTGCTAAATTTCGACTAATTATTTTGAAAAAAAAGTAAAAAAAACTCAGGATCTACAAATATTGGAAGTAAATCATGACTTGAGTAACATTACATTGTCAGCTGAATGCTGCAAATGTTGTTATGCTGGTTATGATTGCAAGCTTATATAACTTATCATTAATTGTCTTTTATCTCAATGTTTAAAATATTGATTGCACGAGTCAAAATATCTAAAAGTCTAAAGGTAAATAAAGTGAATTACCACTTAGTAATACTGAATACGTTCAAGGCATGACTTGATCAAATCTCAAACATAAGTTGATACATTATCTGACAAACAATATTTTATGGCGACAGATCTGAAGTCAAATAGCTCCCTTAAAGGGTAGTTCAATCTTTTCAATCAATGACACAATGTAATTTTTGTTCCATTCCAAATGCATAATGTTTCTAAATTAGTAACAATAAATACTAACTAATTAATTTGCGTTGCCTGGATCAGTCACAAAACCACAAATTTTATCTTTTTAAAGTGTTTTCATTCATTTTTTCAATTGACAAAAGGCAAATGTTTTCTTAAAAAGACACATATCGATGACATTGTGATTGGTTGTGAAGACGAATTGGAACAAATATTTAAGATTTCAATTATAAGTATTATCTCACATTCGCAACAAATTTTCCATTAATTTTGAATTTTTATATACTTCTAATATCTATTTGGGTAGTGATATGTCAAATAAGTATAATTCGAAATGATTTTTCAAATTATTTCGATGGTCTAGTCTTTAGTAAATCAAAATTATCCAAAAACCTCTATTTGATTTATTCAATATAAATGAATAAATGCTTATTTTCCAAAGGAATTAGTTAAACAAAGTTTTATCCATGTTAAGTTTACCTGAAGAAATAAATGCACTTTCAAAGTTTTTTTGCTAAATTTTTAATTTTTCAAATACGATATTTTCAAAAAAATACAATCCCATACTTTTCCATGTTCTTGAGGTTTTGACTTAACGTCCAGTCCAATTTATTTGACTGCCTCATCGTTCAACCTTTCTATTAAATAATATTTGTTTGAGTTTTAATCTTTTGAGCATTAGATCAAGCAATTGAGGCAAAACTCGTGGTGATCAAAGTTTCCTATTTTTTTAATGTCTTCAAAAGTAATTTCCTCATCACAAATGAGGCATAAATTTGTAATGGAAGATATAGGTCTTGTTCTCTGGTGCTGTTTCACATTCTCAGCTTAGAAAATGTTCAAATTGTATTCAAATATTCTTAGCAAAAGTGTCAGCTACGCTTGACATGAATAGAAATGAGACATTATAGAGGCATTTATTTTGAAAAAATTTATTGTCTGTTATTAGTCAATGCAATGCAGCGTTCGCAGCCTTGGAAGTGAATTCGTCAGCACTGATTTCAAGATCTCAAGCACTGTTAGCTTGTGGGCGAACTGGCCAATGGTTTGAAGAACTACAAAACTAGGG